AGCATATGTGGGAACTCCTTCAAGACTGTTGGAAAAGCATTCCTCATGAAGCTGGTTGAGCGAATGCCAAGAGTGTGCAAAGCTGTCATCAAAGCAGCTTCATGAGGGTGGCTACTTTGAAGAATCTCAAATATAAAATATATTTTGATTTGTTTAACACTTTTTAGGTTACTACATGATTCCATATGTGTTATTTCATATTTTGTATGTCTTCACTATTATTTTACAATGTAGAAAATAGTAAAAATTAAGAATAACCCTTGAATGAGTAGGTGTGTCCAAACTTTTGACTGGTACTGTAGGTCTCCCTCGCCTGATACCAATCCCATTCACACCCACTGGCTGTTAGGAGTCTTTAAATAGGGCTCAGGTCCGATAATGGACTGATGATGATCATTAATGCTCAAGAGTTCTGTACATTCACACATCATGGAACCTCCCCAAGGGGAAGTGTTGTACACCTGTATTGATGCACACACCTTTACTGTGTTTTCACATTGTCCCTTTCAGCCAATTGTTGTGAATTCAGTGCGGGTCGCTTAATTTTTTGTGCAGTGTGAACACTCTTGAACTGAGAACATCTTGAGAGGTGGTCTGAGTTTGGTTTGCTTGAATTCAGCGGTCCGGTTCCCCTTTTTTAGGGCAAGGTGAACACAAAGCTCCCCAGGTTCTCTTGTCATTATTCCCGCACCACACACTAGACTACTGCAACACAGTTTACTCTGCCATAACCCCTCACATTGGTGCCACAAGAGAGAAGATGATGAGTTCGTGGACAAAACGTGTGCCGTTTTTTAAATATCGATTAGTGATTGTCAAGGAATTACAGAAATTCCTAAATATGTGTGGAGTTTTGCACTGACACAATGTTCAGATTATTTGTTTGCAATATGTGATCTATAGGCTAAGAGAGCTTCATAAGCTGTTGATTTGATTGTGGGGTTTGAATAGTGAGAAGATAACAACATATTTGGTGAGAATCACAACATAGGAAGGATCTTGATTTTGTACCCTATCCGGGATCCTTGGGTTGTTCCAACTCTGACGTTACCCCATTGAAATTGACATTTAAAATGGTTAAGGTAAGGGTTAAGGTTAGGTAAGGGATATGGTTAAGATTAGGGTAAGGGTTAGGATTTAGGGTCCGGATGTCCCAAGAATTCCTGGATAGCACTAACCACAAAATCAATGCTAGCTCTTAAAGGGGCAGTAGCCTACATTGGGTGTACAATTTTCAATTACAGCATTTTTTCATTTGCAGTATTCTTCTGCTATTTACGCTTTTACCAATAATATTTACATGTTAATATTCTCATCTTTTAACTAAATGCAATCTATTAGCTTCCAAAATGTAAGTAGGGATATCTAGCTGTCCGATAACCAGTGTTGGGGAAGCTAATCTGAAAATATACTGTAGTTTACCAAGCTACCAATTACTTCACACTGGAAGAAGTTAGGCTACACTAAAGCTACCCTTACACTAAAGTTTACTTACCTAAAGTTACTTTGAAAAAGTAGTTCACTACATCCAAACTACTACGTGAAAAAATATTATATCTAAACATGAAATGTCAGACTACAAATTGCAAGAACAGATCACCCTGGAGTCAGATGTTAACAGAATGTGTAATTTAGCCTATTAAACACAAATTAGGAATTAGGCAGGTCTGCTGTCAAAAAAAGAAAGGAAATTCTTGCCAGTTAACACATTTCTTATTTTAGCAAAAAATAAGTAGTGTGTAGTTCCAGTAGTTAGCTACACCGCTACATGGCAAAAAAAGTAATTAACTACTGAAAACATTACCAAGATTTGAATTTAGTTAAACTACCACCAAGCTACTGTAAAATGTAGTTAAATTAATAGTTGAACTACCTGTACTTCACTAACTCAACACTGCCGATAACACTATCTCAGAATGGCTTGTCCTGCACTTTGTAAAAATCCTGAGTGCATTGAGTGAATGTTGGAAAAAGATCTTGGTTCCTTTCTAAACATAGCAATGTGAATGCAAAGAAGACTAGGACCACAAAAAAGTGAAGTGACCTGGCAAAATAGTTGAGTCCTTATTCAAAGGTAAGGGCAGTGTGAACACAAAGACAACTGAGTTTATTTGCTTTTTCTACCCCAGAGTTCACTTTAAAGAGGACTGAGATCGGTTCTTTTAAAGAGGACTATATGTGAAAACACCCTTAAGTTTACTAGAGCACTTCTGAAAATACATGTTTTATATGTCTGGATAATACAAACAAGTGCACAGTGGTGAAAAAGTGACTTAATTCTACCCATTGCTGTAGCCAGGGACCACTGTTTTGGATGGATGTTTCTCAGGCCCTCTCTATACAGTGTGTGTGTGTGTGTGTGTGTGTGTGTGTGTCTCATCTAGATCAGAATGAGCCCACTGTGGTATGACAACACTGTCAAGACAAATTGAGATGAGTCCACTCAGACGTAATCTAGGATTTAATCGCAGGAACTAAAGGAGGCCAAGCACCGGGAGTCACAAATAACAACAACAACGAGGAAAAATAACCATCACTGAAGAAAAGAAGAGAGGGAGCAGCTGATGGAAGAGGCAGGGGAGAGGGAGTGACAGGGACAGATTCAAAGAGTGGAGAGATAATGATTGGGGGAAAGAGGTGATGGAGGGGAGGAGATAGAGGGATGGAGGGATAGAGAAACCAAGGGGGGGGGGGGGGGGGGGGTAATCCGTGTCTCTTCCTATAATGAAGATGCCCGATTACGGTATATCCTTAATCCATTAGGCCCACACGCACACAACAGTGAATGATCGCAATACAAAAACGCTGTATGCTTCTGTACACTTGTTAAACTCCTGAGACTCGGTGCTAAACTATCAAAGCTGGCTTTCAAAGTTGCATACACTTCACATGAGGCAGCAAGGTCGGATAGTAGGGACAGCTACGCAGAGAGAAAGAGAGAGCTAGGCAGAGAGAGAGGGAGAGAGATATAGAGAGAGGCAGAGAGAAAGCGAGAGAGAGATAACTGCAGTCCCAGAAAGAGGACAATGCCAGGAGCCAGGAAGTAGAGCATTCAATTAAGGGCATCGTGGCCTAGATGTTACACACTCCCACAATGCAGCTCTGCTTTGCCCTCTGTCCCTCTCCCTCTCTTTTTCCCCTCTCTCTTTCCTACTGTCTCTCAGTTCAGCAGTGAGAGGTGTGGCATACCTGAAACACACCCGTCTGCAGCATCATATGAACACCTGGGCCCCCCAGGCGCTCACAGTGTTTAATAATTCAACAACAGAATGCTGCAGGAACACACACGCACACACACGCATGCACACACACAGGGAAATAGGACACCAGGGACAAACACACGCACACTGACTAAGGCCTCCCTACTCGCCCCTTGTAAACATTACTCTGGCGCTCCGAAAGTGTTGTGTCAGCGTTTCGGTAAAGCTGGAACACAGGACACCATGCCAGACAGAGTCCTGTGGCTCTACTATGGGCTCTATAGTGCTTAACTCCCGTCAGCCGCCTTACATGACTTACATTAACTACTAATAGTAGCTCTATGGATACAAGCTATAGCCTAAAGACTGGCTTGTGTGACTGATCTAATTGATAGAGAAATGTCTCCGGACTGACATTTTTAAACCGGCAGCAGCAATCAACCCATTTGACTTTATGGACTGAAAAACGGTAAGCAGTGCAGGTCCTAATCCAGGCACTTGTCATCTCCCGTCTGGACTACTGCAACTCACTGTTGGCTGGGCTCCCCGCTTGTGCCATCAAACCCCTGCAATTTATCCAGAATGCCGCAGCCCGCCTGGTGTTCAACCTTCCTAAATTCTCCCATGTCACCCCGCTCCTCCGCACACTCCACTGGCTTCCAGTAGCAGCTTGCGTCCACTACAAGACCATGGTGCTTGCCTACGGAGCAGCAAAAGGAACTGCCCCTCCCTACCTTCATGCTATGCTCAAACCCTACACCCCAACCCGAGTACTGCTATGCCACCTCTGGTCTCTTGGCCTTCCCACACCTACGGGAGGGCAGCTCCCGCTTAGCCCAGTCCAAGCTCTTCTCTGTCCTGGCACCCCAACGGTGGAACCAGCTTCCCCCTAAAGCTAGGACAGCAGAGTCCCTTGCCCATCTTCCGAAAACATCTGAAACCCTACCTCTTCAAAGAGCATCTTAAATAATCCCACAACACCCCCATCGCATCCCCTGCTCACCGCTCCCTCCCACAAAAAACAAAACATTAATAAACTATCTTGCCTTTCATGAACTAACACTTTATTTTCCCCATTACTAGCTCTGACCTTGCTGATAGCTACTTTAGAGGAAAAATGTACTTACTATGACTGAGATATGTGCTTGTCCTACCTAGCTATCTTAAGATGAATGCACTAACTAAGTCGCTCTGGATAAGAGTGTCTGCTAAATGACTAAAATGTCAAAAGGTGTCAAAAGACGTGACATTCTGCTTGACTTAAAGCACCGTCTTATGAAGTGTTAATATCGCCTTATAAAGATGCATACAACTTATAAATGCAGTCATAGAGCATTATGAAACTGTATAGCAAAGCAATAAGGCACAAAAGCCCAATGTGACTGGTGCCATGCCCTTATTTGGCGGTCAGTCATGTGAAGGACCAGCAGCCGCTGCGGCACATCATCTGTCCATCTTTTTACGAGGTGAATAAAAATGTTCATCTCTCATCCTATTTCTAAAGACTAGCTCACAGCTGGTGTCAGAGCTACATGTTGCGGTAGCTCAGCTCATCCCTAACTCTTACCTAACCTCTATTCTAACAGACGTTCTCCTCCCATCTCTCCCCTCCTCTTCTCTTCTGTCCTCATCTCTCTTATCCATTCATCTCCTCTTCTAATCCCCTCTCCTCCTCCCTTCTCTCCTCTCATCCCCTCTTTCACGCTCCTCGTTCAATTCCCTCTCCTCCTCCCACTCACTCTCTTCTCCTCTCTCTTAGTGTTGAAAACACGACTCTAATGGTCAAGAGACCGGAGCAAGTTAATAGACTCTACAGGCAATGTCCCTGACACCACGCTGTCTTTCTTCCACTCCTCTCTCCGTCACTCTCTCCATCACTCCCTCCTCTCTTTCTCCCTTTCTTTTTCTGCTGATAGAGAATTAAAGGGGAGAACACCAGACATCAGCAGGAGGGAGTTCAATGGCTGACGCTGAGCAGAACTCTGGTTAATGTGTTGCTATGGCGTTAACATGAAATGTGGGAGTAATATTTTTAGGGCAGATAATTTTTTCCTGACCAAGACAAATTCCAGGTCGTACTTATAGCCTAAGGCCAAGTGTGTGTGTGTGTGTGTGTGTGTGTGTGTGTGTGTGTGTGTGTGTGTGTGTGCATAGAAGGCCCTTTGTGTTGCGCGTGCGTGCACAGAAGGCCTTTGTGTTGCCAGGGACCAGACGGGAGGACAGATCCCTGAGCCCCGCCCCTGAGGAAACAAAAGTCAGCAGTCACAGAGAAAGAGGTCTCCACCAGGAAGGGACCTGGAGGACCCAGTGAACAACACACAGAAGTGTGCAGACAAAACACCAGCATACACAAGAAAACCTGTCTTCAGTTCCAGTGTGTGTGCGTGTGTGAAGGGGATAAACAGCACCTCTGGAAATATTTTGTAAATAACCCCAATCAGTGTCTTTGTCATGCTGTGAACAGTGCTAGGACATAAACACCATGGCAACACAGGGGAGACTTGAGCTATAAGCATAGCAACTGAGTGACCCCCCATTAGTCCATCAGTAAAACACACCCACCCAAACGCACCTGTCCATACTTCCATCTGTTACTTGAATTCCAGGCACACAGTAGAAATTCCGATCTCCTCTTTGTTGAGTTCAGTGAAACTGATGCTGAGTTATGAAGAATAAGGATCAGACATGACCTTTAAGCCTGATTTATGCGCCCTCTGCTCCAAATGGGCATACCTGGAATTCTGCAAAGGCCATCATGCACACACAATGCAGAACCACTCCACAACCTTATTAATATACTCAATAACCACGACACATTGCCCACTGAAATGACCTGTTGAAAACTTGTAATCATTATTATCATAATTTATTACCATCACTCTTACTGCAACATGTCTGAACTGTTCCAGTGGCCTATTCCAGGACCAGGAGGTTTTCCCTGGCCCGCTAATCCGTTTTAATCCAACGGTCCTCCCTCGATTCTGCCTGTCCAGTCAACAAACGGTTCCTCTGTGCCAGTGTGAACGAAGTACCAGCGCCAGAGAGAAAATCTGCTATAGCCTACAGCACCGCACCGTCCGGTAGGCATAACGGTCTTCAACAAGAGGCTGGGGCATTTGGCCAAGCATTTCACCTGAACAAACTGTTCACATGGGTTGCAAATTAACCGTTATGATGCTGTCAAACCAAAACCAATCTTTCATGTATGAGGTTAGTTACACCGTAGGCCTAACAGGCCTAGTGATAAATAGGCTTTAAACAGTGACCGATAAATAATTCTGGATTAGATAAACACAGAAAACCATGATAACCACTCGCTACTGGTCAAATCAATTTTTATAAGGTCGGAGTCTCAATTGATATCAGTGTTTTACTGCCTGCGTCTCCAAAGATCATTCATATGATAGATAGCGGCACATCTGGACCTGTCAGAGCCGTGGGGCGGGGCAGAGAGTGAGGATGAATGTAGTAGGCTAATTTAAACAATAGCCAAGACTGCATATAACAACAAACAGAGCCAACTGAACAAGACATGCATAACCGGTTGTAAAATAATGGACTAAAACGCACGAGACCCCCTTATTTAGACATAGGCTACTGTCTAGGTTTTTGTAAAACAGTTCCTACATAGTTTAGCCTACAATAGGCCTCATAGCTTTCCCTAATTTCACAGGGTAGTCTGTGTCACATAATTTGGAATGACATAGGCTAGCCTACAAAAAGTGACATTGGATATTTCTCTATCATAGCGTACCCAACGAACACTCGTCTCATCCAGAGATATGGGCTAACGCTAGCCTACAGTCCGTTAAATAGCCCGTCATAGATAGCCTAACATCTCTGCTGGCTTCCAGTTAAACGGTGAACTGAACAGTCCCTAAACCGAAACGGATACAAAGTATCCAGCGCGAGCGTCCCGCTACATTCGGCAACAAAGTTTCAGAGGCCTACCGCTGCTCACCAGATGTAAATTCATGACCAATTAGCATTGACAACAATAGGGCTTTTGAAAATGTTAAGAAATAACACACTCACGTTCCGAGGATCTCTTTCAATTCAAATATTTTCTTGATGTCGTCGACTTGCTTTTTCCACGTCCCTTTCCCGGAGTCTCCATTCTCCAGAGCCATGGTGGAACAGGGGGAAACCGGGGAAAACGATGCCAGTGCGTCTCAGTAGACCCCCGAGATAATGCAGCTTTCCCACGCTTCGAGTTACACTTCCTGCTCGTGAGGAGCAGACCCACGCGCATAGAATGAGCTAGGCAGAAAACCTTCTCGAGCTCGTGGTTTTCCCGCTGTAGAAATGTCACCGCAGCTCTCGAAACAGGTCTCCGGTTTTCTTCGCTTCTTTCTCTGTTTACAGCGTTCACCGTCTGCGGTTGCACCTGCAGGTTCAGCTGGTCTAGATTATCTTGACGTAAATTGTTTCGGGCTACGTGTCACCTTGTCTCTCTTATTCCGTTTTAATTAAGTCCTCTGTTGAGTCGTGCGGTGCGTAATGTGAGGAGTATTATTTCATCTAACCATGCTGATTGTGCCATCGGTTGTTATGGCAATGAGGGAGGGTAGGATGCTGCTCGACCTGACAGCGTTGCCCACAAATGTGTGAGAGAGCGAGTGTGTGTGTGACTGGATGTCTTCAGATAATTCGCATTGCACCAAAGATACGTTCCCAAAAGCAGACCTGGCCTATGTTTATTATGGTGGATATTAGGCTATACCAGGTCAGATGGTGTAGTCTACAGGGACCCATGCAACCTGCTGTGAAGTTTGAGAAAGGGTGCATTGCCTGTCTCCAGATAAAATGTGAAAACTTACTATGTCTTGATCAAAAGAGTGCTGACATGCATGAGAGACAGGCGATGCAATGAAAAGCAATTCATGGGCCCTACAAAAGTTTTATATTAGACACTATAATGGTCATATTAAAATCTGATGTACTAAATACATTTGTAAATTGAGTTTGGGTGTTAATATTTAGATGGTTAAATACTCCCATCTCCAGCAAAGCAGTCTCGACTGCAGTGTCTTATCTGGAGGCACTGTAATCCACCTAAAAAAAACACACACGGAATAGTATCCTCCAGTCGTGAAGAGAATTACTGCAGACTGTTTTCATCTGACAGGCCTGCCAGAGCTTGTGTATAGGATAAAAGAGAGAAAGAGTGTGTGTGTGTGTGTGTGAAAGTGTGTGTGTGAGTGAGTGAGAGACGGACCGAGAGTGTGTGTCTGCGTGTGTGCTCTAGACGCTCATGAGTATTCCAGCTGCAAACTACTGCAGTTCCCTCTCAGCTCAAGAAAATCTATTGTCCACTTACCCTACCTCTCCCTTTCTCCCTCCCTTGATCTACAGCTCTGAGTCAGCAAGTCCCTCAAGTTAGATTTTTCACATATCTGCCTCCCTCCCTCCCAGAAAGATGATTAGTCAACCCAGGCTGAGATGTAGGCTAGGATTTATGTCCATCTTGGCAAGCTGAAGAGAAGAGAGAGAGAGAGCAAGGGGAATTGAAAAGGGAGGTAGGAGGATGATAGGAGATGTGTAGTCTCTCTTCTTTCTATCAGTAGTCTGGCACCCACCAGATGGGTGTGGCATCATTGGCATCATTGACATCTTTCTGCACCCCCCCCTGCATGCAGGGGCAGTGTGCTGAAAACAACACAAGCACCTGACTCCAGGCTCAGATAATACAACAATGCACTGCGTCTGTATACAGGCTAGGATCGATTGGTTAACCAGCAATATCCTGCCCCAACAGTACTTTGCTATCGCATTTTACTTACTAGGCTATACACGCGTGATAACTATTAATGACAAAACAGAACATCCAGGCATTCCATCCTAAATACCTTTCACGTGAATGGTGAAGTTGTTATCCCAGACCACTGTCTCATCCCAGGGCAGCTCACCATCGCTGATGGGTTCTCATTTTAGGTAAACATCTCCCCCAAGTGGACCTTAATAAAAATGCACTACTCTCTTTCCCAACCAGCTTGTCTAGTCATTGGTGCCAAATTCCATTCCACTTATCACATCCACTTTAGAGAAATTTAATAATCTACCAGTGAAAGTAGTATGCCTTCTATTTTAGTCTACCCAAAAACAGACCAACAACAAAGTGCACACACCAGCAATTTATTACCCAATCAGAACTTTGCCAGCACATAGAAAATAAACCAATGATAAGAATCAACATGAATCCCACAATAACATAGATAGAACTATAATGACCAGAGAGAGTAAGTAAGGAACTGGAATGTTTGAAATACTGTTGCACAGAGACTTCATGAGTAAACCTTTGTATCGCTATTACATACAGATGCGTCTAACTAAACCATTAGAAAGCACATGGAAAAGTTTGTATTTGGTGTGTGTGAAGAGAGAAAGTCCAGTGGGCTAAGTCAGAAAACTCTCAACCTTTGGGTATCTCCCTCAGAAATTGCAATCCCATGACGTACCTGCTATACACACAAACCATGATACGTCTCTTCCCCAGCGCTGTATTATAAAATTGAGCATTCTTTATTCCTATACACAGACTGCTGTAACAGACTCCCCCTTACCTTTACACAACATTAAGTTACAGTATTTATATTTACATTAGACACACCGGGCCAATACAACAGGAGCACTGCTTAGAACTCCCCTCTTAAATACACACAACCATGAGATTCAATGGGACTTTTACAGTGTAGCAGGTAGAAATGTACCGCACAGAGCGGTCATGATGCTTTTCTCCTCATTATGGTTTGTTGAGTTAGTCCTATTCAATACATTTCTATCTGCAGCATTCTGGATAGGTCTAAGGTGATGACCAAAAGTGTATGGATTCCATCAGAAGATTCAAGAGCGAATAAGGACAAACCTCCATGCGTATAGTAGTCTCCGTGCTAACCGCTAACGCTAGCTTAACAGTTTTAGGGTTATTGTTATGCTAGGCTAACAGTCACTGTATAGAGACCCTGCTCCTCAGGGGCTGGGTGTGTCACTGTCGTACCTCTTCCTCAGAGTCCTCTTGCTGGCGTTTCTTCTGCAGAGAAAAGAGGGAAAGGGTGAGATTATAAAAACTGATGACGGAAAATGAAATTGTAAGAGGGTCATAGAGATTGCCAGAGGGTTGTTTTAAGATTATCTTAAATTGTGTGAACCAGCACTGCCGTTGTTCGCACCAGTTTGAGGAAGTCGATGAGTTTGTATGCGTCCTCGCCGGTGGAGAGGTCCACAAAGTCCCTAGGGATCCGGTAGCTCAGACAGGGACTGGGCTGCACCGTCACATCACTGGTGGTGTAGCGGAACACAGGGCCTTCCTACAGTTACAGACACAACACAAACCGGTGTTAACAGGATAATAAGCACAGAAAGACTTGCCCACATAAACAAACATACACATGTATATGTACACCAAAGCCACAGCCTGTGTCACAGTTGTCACTGACCTGCTGGGCTGTGTCACCCTCCTCTTGATTGGCTGACAGGCTGTTCCCGGAGGTAAGCTCCTCCCACGTGAACAGCAGTGAATCTGTCACCTCACCAAAGGGGTTGAGATCGATCAGCCACACCTTCCCCTGTCAAACACACACACACGGTCAAAAATGCACATACTCGTAGAAAAGCCTGGGCTACAACCAAACAGAGGCTGGAAATATAAATGACAAAAGACTTACCCAGCTATCTCTGTAGACATCCAACACAACTGTAAAACAGAAAACATTTTGCATTACTCTTATTACAATATATTCTAATTATCACACACACACACTGAATCCCACTCACAGTCCTCATCCAGGAACTGATACTGGACGTGTTGGCTGAAGAACTCCTGGATGGAGTGGCAGATCTGGGCCTCCTGCTTAGAGATGTGGTGGTAGTACTGGGTATAGTCTCTCTGGGAGATACCTAAAGAACACACACACACACAACTCTCAGAACAGATTTTCAGTCCACACAACAGCCCTAACGCTTGCCACACTGCCTTGGGAACAGTGCAAGTGAATACAGGCTCTCTGAATATGTCGCTGAGGGAGGGTGAGAGTAAAGGTGAATGGTGTGTTAACCTCTTCATACAGTACTTACCGATCAGCTTGTTCTCTTTGATGAAACACCTGAACTCCCCGCCAGGTAGCAGCTCACTCCACTTCCTCAGGACCAGCTGACCTCAGGGGTATAACACAACACTATTAAACAGTTGGAAGAAAAGGTGTGTGTGTGTGTGTGTGTGGAAAAGAGAGTGTGCATGTAAGCAAGGTGAGTGCGTGTTAAATACCTCATAGTTTATGGCTGGATTTGGAGAATCCTCGTCACTGCAGTGAAGGAATCTGTAGAGGGAGATTGGAACAGTGACCATTCGGTTATAAACTCACATTAAATTCACACACTTGCATTCACACAAATACAAACACAAGAGTAGTAAGCGTCACACACATGCACACTTGCACAAATGCTCCTCAGTGGCCCCTTCACGTTTGAAAGCTCAGTACTAAATCAAGTGCTGGACGGTGCTGTATTAAGTATTCCACCATGCCAGAGCTGTCTGCCAACTGTGCCCATTATCAGAGTCTCCAATGGGAGCAGTAAATCTACGATGAAGCAATCTCACCAAACCTCTCCACAGCCCACTGCTGAAGCAATCTTCCCAGCCCACTGCCTGGCCCACTGCTCTCAGAAAGGCTGAGTCACTACCTGCAGTGTTTTCCACAGCGGGTAGAAAACCCATCTATACCGAACAAAAATATAAATACAACATGCAACAATTTCAAAGATTTTGTTGAGTTACAGTTCATATAAGTAAATCAGCCAATTGAAATAAATAAATTGGGCCCTAATCTATGGATTTCACATGACTGGGCAGGGGCGCAGCCATGGGTGGGCCTGGGATGGCATAGGATGTGGAGGTCCTGGGTTAAGCGTGGTTACACGTGGTCTGCGGTTGTGAGGCCGGTTGGACGTACTGCCAAATTCTCTAAAATGACATTGGAGGCGGCTTATGGTAGAGAAATTAACATTCAATTCCCTGGCAACAGCTCTGGTGGACATTCCTGCAGTCAGCATGGCAATTGCATGCTCCCTCAAAACTTGAGACATCTGTGGCATTGTGTTGTGTGACAAAACTGCACATTTTAGAGCTGCCTTTTATTGTCCCCAGCACAAGGTGCACCTGTGTAATGATCAGCTCCTTGATATGCCACACCTGTCAGGTGGATTGATTATCTTGAAAAAAAGTATAACATGCTCAGTAACAGGGAAGTAAACAAATTTGTGCACAACATTTGAGAGAAATAAGCTTTTTGTGCGTATGGAACATTTCGGGGATCTTTTATTTCAGCTCATTTTCATGCAAATGACTGCCGGTCTCACTGTAATTGACCGTTAACGAACATAAACACGTTTAGCATCTCCAAGCCTCCACTCAAGCCGCTGAACTACATTTTTATAAATCCATTTAATAAACACCATCACAATAAATCCATTATTTATTTTAGGCAGTTCTAAAGAAAATGTGTATTTCAGAAGACCAGAATATGAGTCAGCCTATTGTATGTTATCTAGCTGTGCACCATGACGTAGGCTAGTTCATTTAGCAGAGAAGATATGCTTATAAGTCTCGTGCCATTATTTTATATTATTTTATAGTAAGAAGAATATAATTGAACTTAGCTGAATAAGTCTCAACGTCAACAGTGAAGAGGCGACTCCGGGATGCTGACCTTCTAGGCATAGTTGCAAAGAAAAAGCCATATCTCAGATTGTCCATCTTAATCTTTTATTTTTATTGGCCAGTCTGTGATATGGCTTTTTCTTTGCAACTCTGCCTAGAAGGTCAGCATCCCGGAGTCACCTCTTCACTGTTGACGTTGAGACTGGTGTTTTGCTGGTACTATTTAATGAAGTTGCCAGTTGAGGACCTGTGAGGCGTCTGTTTCTCAAACTAGATACTCTAATGTATTTGTCCTCCTGCTCAGTTGTGCACTGGGGCCTTCCACTCCTCTTTCTATTCTGGTTAGAGCCAGTTTGCGCTGTTCTGTGAAGGGAGTAGAACACAGCGTTGTACGAGATCTTCAGTTTCTTGGCAATTTCTTGCATGGAATAGCCTTCATTTCTCAGAACAAGAATAAACTGACGAGTTTCAGAAGAAAGTTATTTGTTTCTGGCCATTTTGAGCCTGTAATCGAACCCACAATTGCTGATGCTCCAGATACTCAACTAGTCTCAAGAAGGCCAGTTGTATTGCTTCTTTAAATCAGCACAACAGTTTTCAGATGTGCTAACATAGTTGCAAAAGGGTTTTCTAATGATCAATTAGCCTTTTAAAATGATAAACTTGGATTAGCAAACACAACGTGCCATTGGAACACAGGACTGATGGTTGCTGATAATGGGCCTCTGTACGCTTATGTAGATATTCCATAAAAAAAATCAGCCGTTTCCAGCTGCAATAGCCATTTACAACATTAACAATGTCTACACTGTATTTCTGATCAATTTGATGTTATTTTAAATGGACAGAAAATGTGCTTTTCTTTCGAAAACAAGGACATTTCTAAGTGACCACAAACTTTTGAACGGTAGTGTATATAGTTTTTTGTTGTTGCCTGTTTTGAATATTATTTTGGCATTAATACGTGTCACATATCAGGTTGCAAACAATGTAAAAAATAAAAAATGTGAGTTAATAAAGCTGCATACAAACATGGTCTCTTTTTTGCTTTCTTGAGTAAGGCATCTCCAAAATGCAGGTGTTTCAGCCTAGCTCCGTGCTTTCTGTGGTGGTGGGGCAGCCAGCGGAAAATACAGAGCGTAGAGGGTGGTAATGTTCTCTAGTTGCGCCGTGATTGGCTCAGTGTTCGGTCACTCATGGGGACACTACGTCACCGCAAAATCTACAGGGAGAGCTAAAAAATTGAAGACCCTTGGGTGCTGCCATAGATTTACATTAGAAGTGCCCATCCAAGAAGGTTCAAGGTCATTGGCCACAGATAAAATGACATCAAATCACGTTATATCGACTGTAGCTTTGATTGGACTGGTCATGTCAACATCATACTTTCAAAAGCTACTTAGCTAGCAAGCTTGACAAGCAGTCATCATCATGAATCAAGTCGACAATCTACTGGCAAATCCTTTTCAATCCTTGTCATATGAAGATAAATTATAGATAAAATGTATCGTGCTCATTGGCCATAAACATAACACAACAAGTTGGAATTCGCAAATTCAACAATGAGTGGTTTGGAAGGAATCAGTGGCTAACTGCAAGCGTTACAAAGCAATCACTAGCCTGCTATTCAGTGGAGAGGGTGTGTGGTCCAAGTCTGGGTTTAAGGGTCTCTTTTCCAAGCTTAAAAAGGGCACCAAAGGTTGAATACATTGGCCATACTGTCAATCCAGCATGACTGGAAACGTTCAAAACAACTGGAAACTCGGTACTGGGAAAGTTGGGATCCTGAGTGGCGCAGAAGTCTGCATCACAGTGCAAGAGGCGTCAATATAGACCTGGGTTCAATCCCAGGCTGTATCCCAACCGGCTGTATCCCAATTGGCCCAGGGTCGTCCGGGTTAGGGGAGGGTTTGGACGGGGTAGGCCGTCATTGTAAATAAGAATTTGTTCTTAACTGACTTGCCTACTTAAATAAAGGTCAAATAAAAAATTAAAATAAATCTCAGACTTCAGTGAGTTCAAGACAACTGGGAACTCAGCATTTCCGACTGGGAAAATACGTTTTTGAGCGGTCATCCAACTTGGAATTCGAAGTCGGGAACTCTGGCCTCTTTCTAGAGCTCCGACCTGAAGATTACTGACGTCATGATTCAACCTTGTTTTTTTTCCCATGTTCCCAGTTGTCTTGAAAGCACAATAAATACAGAGAATGCCAGATTTTGATGACAAAGTTTGATGACAAAATTTGCCCACAAGAAGGACCGCAGCGCCACCTTACAGTTCAAGTGAGCACAACACATGGGAGTCCAAAAATGTATTGTATGCCGCTTCATAAATGATGTAATATGCCAGGGAGATATGTATAGTGTAGCTAAGAAAGTAATACTAAGTGTATGTTGTGTAGTAAGCTGTTAGTAGCCCATGTGCCTCACCCTAATAATTTGGTCCCTTTCCCCCTCATACTGTTCTAACTTGGTGGTGCACATGTAGCCTATAGCCTGTTTTAGAGAAATGTCATCATCGAATAATGTAAGAGCTTTCATTGTCCGCTTACAGTGCATTCGGAAAGTATTCAGACCTCTTGACTTTTTCCACATTTTCTTAAGTTACAGCCTTATTCTAAAATTGTTTTTCCCCCCCTCAACAATCTACACACAATTCCCAATAATGACAAAGCAAAAACAGCTTTTTAGAAATGTTTGCAAATGGATTAAAATTCGGACCCTTTACTCAGTACTTTGTTGAAGCACCTTTGGTAGCGATTACAGCCACAAGTCTTCTTGGGTATGAAGCTACAAGCTTGGCACACCTGTATTTGGGGAGTTTCTCCCATTCTTCTCTGCAGATCCTCTCAAGCTCTGTCAGGTTGGATGGGGAACGTCGCTGCACAGCTATTTTCAGGTCTCTCCAGAGATGTTAGATCGGGTTCAAGTCCGGGCTCTGGCTGGGCCACTCAAGGACATTCAGAGACTTGTCCCGAAGCCACTCCTGTGTTGTCTTGGCTGTGTGCTTAGGGTCGCTGTCCTGTTGGAAGGTGAACCTTCGCCCCAGTCTGAGGTCCTGAGCGCTCTGGAGCAGGTTTTCATCAAGGATATCTCTGTACTTCGCTCCGTTTTTCTTTGCCTCGATCCTGACTGGTCTCCCAGTCTTTATCACTGAAAAACATCCCCACAGCATGATGCTGCCACCACCATAGGGATGGTGCCAGGTTTCCTCCAGACGTGATGCTTTGCTTTCAGGCCAAAGAGTTCGATCTTGGTTTCTCATGGTCTGAGAGTCCTTTAGGTGCCCTTTGGCAAACTCCAAGCGGGCTGTCATGTGCCTTTTACTGAAGAGTGGCTTCCATCTGGCCAATCTACCATAAAGGCCTGATTGGTGGAGTGCTGCAGAGATGGTTGTCCTTCTGGAGGTTCTCCCATCTCCACAGAGGAACTCTGGAGCTCTGTCAGAGTGACCATCGGGTGCTTGGTTACCTCCCTGACTAAGGCCCTTCGCCCCTAATTGCTCAGTTTGGCCGGGCGGCCAGCTCTAGGAAGAGTCTTGGTGGTTCCAAACTTCTTCCATTTAAGAATGATGGAGGCCACTGTGTTCTTGGGGACCTTCAATGCTGCAGACTGATGAGGATTATTATTTATTTAATCAATTTTAGAATAAGGCTGTAAAAGGAAAGGGGTCTGAATACTTTCCGAATGTACTGTATATGCCCCCTTCATTTATCCAATGGTTCTGACTTGGTGTACATAGAGAATACTCTAAGAACGGCCCATGTTCTGAATTCCGTCGCTGTACATTTCAAAAGTGCTGAACAAATAGTTATATTGACTACGTCCGTCTTAACTCGCTCATTACTGTCTTAATCGAAATTACGGATATCCCTCATCCGCTCATCGTTCCCTTATGCCATAGTTTGTACATCTCAATTGTCAGTAGAAACCACATTTGTTTAAGCAAGTCAGCCATATCAGCTATGTTTTTTTAAAGGCAGTAAATGAGGCTGAATGAACTGTTTCGCTGCCAGACAAGGCTCCGCTGATAGCCAGGTGTAGCAGTGGTAAGGTGTTGGGACTACTGTTGGGACAACTTTATGTAGGCCCTAACAGTTTGTGGGCCTACGTAACGTTAGCTAGCTATCTAACGTTAGTAGCTAAACAATGTCATGAACCATAATCACAACTCATGACGTTACTACCCTGCATGAATCTGCAGGTAGCTAACCAACCAGGTTCAATGTTAGCTAGCTAAGATTAGGCTATAGCTAGCTAAGCAAACGGCTCTTTCTGTCAAAATTAGAAACGTGTAATATCTGAAAATGTAGCTAGCTAGACTATCTTACTCATATACATTCTCATGGATGGACGCGTCTCCTGTCAGATGCCATGGTTGCCCTTAGTTTGAAGATGTAATCCGGAGACAGGTGTTTTCTCCATCTCCTTAGCTATCATACTTGAATTCCACTGTTTTCAAAACTCGGTCCTCCAGAAAGTGGAGAGCAAAATTAGATTTGATTTGAACACATATGCAGTTTTAATACACGATACATTTTAAAAAAGACGAGAACTTGTTTAATTTTATAGGCTAGACCAAATATGTACCAAAGACATTTTTGTTTTTTTCAGTGCGTCATATGCGGTAGGCTATTAGGCTATATATTGTATAAAGGCACAATCATTTTAATCCAGTTTTATTTCGGGCATGGGCTCATATATGGGTGTGGGTGTTTTGAATTAATCATCATCTTAGAAAGCACTGTCCATTTCGTTGTATTTGGCTTTGAAACAACATCCACAACAACCATGTTTTTCACTCAGTTTCAACCTGTTGTTGAACTTCGTTCTTCAAATTGATCATCACAGTGAGATTAGTTTTAAAAGCATGACAATAAGTGTTTGATGTGATTTTCGATTGCATTTGCATTGACGTCAGAGTGGTTAGAGGGACAATAGAGCGCTGAGTACCAGGCCATTAGCGAGCTGAAGATCGTTAGCGAGTTGGGTACTACCAACGCATGTCCAGAGTGCATAATAAGAGATTACCGTGACTCAACGGTCACATGGAATTTGACTGCAGTCATGACTCATGACTGCCGGTGTGGCGGTAGTACGGTCACCGCAACAGCCCTAAGTGAGAATGTGTGAGTCCGTGGAGGGGATTCTTACGGCTGTGCGAGATCGTGGGTGATGAAGTCCGAGCTCTTGAAGAGCAGGAAGATATCGCTCAGACTCTGACACTGCAGGGAGCTGTTCAGAGCAATCCAGTTAGCATCCTGCAGGAAAGGAAACACACACACACACTTATTCACTTAAAATCACCACTCAGACAGACACACTGTGGACAGTATTTAAAACTGATATTGATGGTGTTAGAGGGTTGTCTCTCTCACCCGTGGCGCACTCCAGTTCAGTTTGGGAAAGACACACCCACCTAGGGTGTTTATGGCCTCCAGCACTTTGGAGTTGAATTCTGGGAACTCTGGAGCCTGGAACACAAAGCAACCACAACAAATATCCACATCTTCACTGTATGCATATCATATTATAAACTTGACTAAAATGATATACAGATGGATTGATAATATTTAACATGATCTACATTACTTACTGTTACAGTGGTGGTCGTCTCATCATCTGACCACTAATTTTATTGAGAGAAGAACATTGTATCAATCAGTAAATAAAACATTCAAGCATTGAGCATAAAGTCTGCTTTTTCAGTCTCCACTTTACTAGAAAGCGAGATGGAGTGCACCTGAACGTCTTCCTCCTCCTCTGAGTCACTGTTGTTGGTCTGGTTTTGCTGAGTGTTGTTGTCCCTGGAATGAGGAGAGATTGTATCAGTGAATATAAGGGCAATGCTGAGACAAACACATTTGCAGGAAGAACTGTGCAGTTACAAAGTTTGGCAACAGAATAAAACGGAGGAAGATTTGACCGTATTTCTATTACCACTTTGCATCTGCACAGTTTTTTCCAGTACGTATTGCCCATAAGTGACAGTGTATGGGAATAGACACAGTGACTTTAGGGGTAAGTAAAGTTATACTTACCCTCCAGAAACTACTAGTGTTCCGTCGTCCAGCAAATAATCTATTACATTCTGAGGCAGTGGGAGAATCAAACTGAAAGAAAGATAACACCAAACATTAGGCCTACACAACACAAACTATCAGACTAGTATTGACCAAAGATAAGAGACCTGAAAACAAACAGTCTCAAAGGTAGATATTGAGCTGATGCAATATCAATGACAATATCATCACACAAGCATTTACACATGGCACTTCTAACAGATTAACATGTTTAATATCAGTAAAGGACAGGTGAGGTTTGCGAGAATTCACAATTAGCTAATAAAAGTACAGTTAGGCTGTGTTACAATATCAGACGCACACACACACAGGTGACATCATATTGGCTAATACAGTTTGCTAGCTAAACAGATAACTATACGTTAGCTACACAAATTATAGCACAACCAGTGTTTATTTGAGAGTGACGATATCAACAACATATCTGAGACTGTGCTGGTCAAGTTAAGGAGTTCACCTTTTGATAGTATGCTTCTTAAATATCGGATACCAGACCGAAAACTGACAATTTACAACTTGCTCCTTCTTCATACTGCAAATGCTTTACCGGAAGTGAGTCCAGCCACATATACTTCCCCTAAGAAAAAAGCTATTGGACATTGGTTTCCATGTTGTTTACAACCTTTCCATTACAACAAAATGAGAATGGCTTGTATTTATTAGGTTAGGTTAACTGGAATGGTTGTAGACCGTCTCTAATCTATTATAATATTTTTCAGAAGAGGGAGATTATTTTTGCGTTGCACACGTAGGCGTAGTCTCTTCATTGCTGTTTTTTTTATCAGGGAGTCATCACTGCTTTACTTGACTTGTGACTAAAACCACTTCATCTTCATGTGAGTACTGCACATGTATCCAATTCACAATGCTTTTTTGTCTAGGTTAATATTGTAACTTTTAAGAATATTTACATAACAGCATGTGGGTTTTGCTAGGAATGAGCTAGCAGACTAAACTCCTCTCCAAGGTGAAGGAAGTTTGAAGTTCATCAGAAACACCTTATTTTATGTGATTCTAAAATCCCCTATGTGAAAAATGAATGGTGGAAAAACGATTTGAACCATTTCCACAGACAACTGGTAGTAAGTAAAAAAATATTTGTACATTGTATTCAACATTTTGGCTTGTAAGGAACATTTACACGATTTTGCAGGCATTTGTTTCAGGTTGTATATACCAATTAATTGTGTATTACAGCCTGATTAATCCGACTAGCTAGCTAGCTGCTTCAGCCATGCTAAAAATAAAAGTAATGTATGCCTTTTAACTATCTGCATTGCATATATCTCTATTAATTATCAACTCATGCAAGTAATCAATAGTTTTTCTGGATTTGGGCAGACAAAAACAAAATCCTCCATCCATTTCCCTGAGAGCAACACTGGAAAGATGAGCAGTCCTCCCAAATCGACAACCATACCTCACATTGTAAAAGAGGAGGTAGATATGATATAATAACATGTACATTGTGTGGTGTAAATGAGTCTCTTGGTTTAGCTATATCACATTACTCAACGGTATTCTCTTCAGGTCATTGCATCTGGGAAATGGTTGAAACTTGAGAAGACCACGTATGTGGACCCTGTTGGAAACACAAGGTATGGAACAGATCAATGAGTTGCATAAGTTACTTTTGATAAAAAATATTTGTTCCCTTTTACAATTCATTTCTGTCTTTCAATAGAACTTGGGAGACTACGAAAAGGACAACCAGACAGGCCAACGCAGCAGATGGTGTGTGTGTGTACATACATTTCATACTGATGGATAAGCAGTGACATTATAGAAATTGATTCCTGTGTTATATTCCAGGTGTGGGGATCATCGCCCTTCTGAAGAGGACCCTCCACAAAGACTGCGTTGTCATGGTGAAGCAGTTCCGTCCACCAATGGGGTGCTGTACCCTAGAGTTCCCTGCAGGTGACATGGGTTTACAGTCACATCTCAAAACTCTGTTCAGACGCAGTGTATGTAGGCCTGTCATTGCTGTGTTTTGCCCTTCTGTGTTCTGATATCTGTGTTTGCTGTCTGTGTGTTTTTTTTGCTGTTGCTCAGGTCTGATTGACGAGGGTGAGAGTGCAGAGACTGCTGCTCTGCGAGAGCTGAAGGAGGAGACTGGTTACAAGGGGGAGGTGGTGGGAGTCACCCCAGGTAGGTCTAATGAACACACACACTCAAAACACAGGACCGATTATGTCCATGTTCCATCAGCGAGGAGAAATTCAATATGCCTGTGATCCTCCTTTCCTCTCCCCTTCTCCTGACCTCGCAGTGACCTGCTTGGACCCTGGCCTCTCTAACTGCACCACACAGATCGTCATGGTGAACATCAATGGAGACGACCTCGAAAACACCAACCCCACACAGCAGCTGGGTAAGTTAGGGGTCAGACTCTTGGAATGTTATGAATCTAGAAAATGGGATACAATGTTTTTTATTGTCAAGCTGATATGTATTGTACATTGTCCTGAACTTGTTCTTATTTCTCTGCTTTCCTCCCTCTCTTTTACTATTTTCCAGGTGATGGAGGTAAATCTTTTTTTCTTCATAATCACACTTTTGGTATTTATCCACTATTAGAATAACGTTGACCTAAATCTTATTCTGGCCTCTGTTTTACTTCCAGAATTTGTTGAAGTTCTTCTTCTACCTCTTGATGAATTCCAGAGTAAAATTGATGGTGAGCAACGATTGAAGTTTCTTCTTCACAATTCATAAGTCATAGTGGAATCCAATTTGAGACAGAAAAGCATACTATTACCGTTATTATATTCTGCTTGTGATTACCTGAAGAGATCATATTTGCATGATTTCCCCCCCTCCTACAGACCTGATGAAGAAGGAGAAGATTGTGGTGGACTCTAAGGTTTACATCTACGGCATGGGGATGTCCCAGGCCTTCTTTAAACCCAATGAACTCAGAGTGCTCAAACAGTGAGAGAAGGATGGGGAGAGAAAGTAAAGTGGAGAGAGTAAACTAGATTGATGGGAATAGAGGGAGAGTGCATTAGGCTGCCTACTCTTTTGTTGTAGTCTCTGTTATACTACGAATATGGACTAAACCAGGGATGACACTGTCAACAGGGTGGCCATTTTGTGGCTTTAAGCTGTTGTCTTGGGGATCAGTCCATGAGATTCATGGAGTGTTACCCTACAGCTTGTATTATCTAAGACCCACCGCCTTTCACGGAATTCTTCTCTCTTTATATTGAGGTATGCGCCATACGTCCATGCACCTTTACCTGTGGGGATAGTCACAATTAGATACCATCTTTGTGATTAATTTGATATTACAAGCTGTCTGATAATACAAATTCGTACCCTGATCTGAATATAGTTCTAAATAATAACTGTGATTACATACTGGAACATTCCTAACTTTCACTAACTCAACAGACTAAACGTCACTGTAAAATAACTTAAAAGGTACTGTTCTAATAATAATGTGCCTTGAAAGATGATGTTACTCGAAACCGCAATACTTTTGTGCATGTCGGTGCATTTACGTTGACATCCATTAGTTCACATCAATGCTCTGTTAGACCAAGGTATAGGTATAGATGTCTCCTTACTGGTATAAGGCTGACATGCAGATGATCCTCACATAATAATTTTACAATTAGCATTAATTGAATTAACTTGGTGTCAATAAACATGTTATTCTTACAGCAACATGTAGGCCTACTTTTCTTTTCAACCTCTTTTGCCTTTTGCTATTCTCCTACTGACCAATAGGTGGCACTGTACAAACACATTGAAGAACGTAAATTCACCAAAGAACCAAGTATCCAATAAACGCTTAGCTAGCTGTGCGTTATCAACAACAACCATGCTAGACAGTTTATCAGTAATATTCAATAGTATTTAAAAATGTGAATGTATTCATGCTAAATCCACAAGTGAACTTTACTTTGCGCTGTACATTAGCTGATATAAACACGGGCTAGCCAACTTCGCCAAGGGTTGTTTGTGTGCTCAAACTAACTAGCTAGCATGTACGCTAACATTTAGAGAACTTATTCTAAAAAGCAGGAAACGAATGATTGGATATCAGCAGGTTTTCTTGAAACAACATGATGGAATCGTCCATTAAAGGTAATGGTGCTTGTTTGAGGATTAACTACTGTACCTTGCTAATGCATGTCACATATCTGTAATCTTAGCTCTACAACGGCGTCTGTAACGTTAATATGTTACGCATTCTCAGTACTGACCCAAAACACAGGACTGGTGCCATGAAGGTGTATGAGAGAGTGTAGTAGAGATGTACTCACAGCCCTGGTAATGTTGCAGGAAAAGCCAAGCGAAGGCACCTGACCTCAGAGGAGTGTCGTGAAATGAGTAGGAGACCAGAGGTCAGCCAACGCCTCACACAGCCCCACTCCGTCACTTGCAGGCACAGCAACTCAGACCCCAACCGGGGGTTGTACCCCAGAACACCCACAAAGAGAAAGAGCGGTACTGTACATTTGTGTGTCTTTAGTTTTTTTACTCTTGAGACCTGAAGTGATGTAACATTTTGTACACATATAATTTACCTTGTCATCCCCTCCCGTTGCTCCCTCTTCTCCTCTCTTGCCTGGATCTCAGATGCGAGTGATGACAAGCAGCAGCAGGGGATCACTCAGTTTTTCCCTGTGATCGGTCCTCAGAAAGCAGCCCTGTCCCAGGGCTCAGGTTCCATAAAGACAGAGGGATTCAACGGAGAGCTCATCCCCAAAAAGGAGCCTGTTGAGGAGAAGGAGGCACTAGCCACTCCTATGAAGGAGGAACCTGAGGATGAGAAGGTGGACTATCTGGAGGGGCTGACAACGGACATGTTTGGGGACGACAAGGAGTTTGAGCGCTGTTGGTTAGATCCAGCCCCAGCCTTTATGAACCACCATGACGAGGAGGTGGAGGCCCTGCCTGACGCCCACTAAGGCCTCTTGGGAAGCAGCAGGGGCCTGGCCCATCCCCAGGGCCATGTGGACGACCTCCCAGAGGAGGTGCTGATGCTGGTGTTGAGCCTCCTGCCTGCTGAGGACCTCTACTGTCATGTCAGCCTGGTCTGCCAACGCTGGGGGAACATTGTCACCCAGTCACTGGTGAGAACCTGGGACAGGGGGAGGAAGTTAGGGTTAAAGTTATGAAGATAAGCTAGTGTGAAAATGGTAATAGATGTGGTGTGTAGATTTTTTTGGGTTAAGTTGTGTTTAGTTTGTGCCCTGGAAGAAGCTGTATTACCGCTACACGAAGAAGGAAAGCGAGGCGGTGAAGGAGATCGACGCCATCCTGGAAACCCATAGAATCAAAAAGAACGACCAGGAGAGCATCCTCCATATTTACAATTACGTCATTTAGCAGACGCTCTTATCCAGAGCGACTTACAAATTGGTGCATTCACCTTATAGCCAGTGGGATAACCACTTTACACAATTTTTTTATTTTTTTATTTTTTTTTGTGGGGTAAGGGGGGGTAGAAGGATTACTTTATCCTATCCAAGGTATTCCTTAAAGAGGTGGGGTTTCAAGTGTCTCCGGAAGGTGGTGAGTGACTCCGCTGTCCTGGTGTCGTGAGGGAGCTTGTTCTACCATTGGGGTGCCAGAGCAGCGAACAGTTTTGACTGGGCTGAGCGGGAACTGTGCTTCCGCAGAGGTAGGGGGGCCAGCAGGCCAGAGGTGGATGAACGCAATGCCCTCGTTTGGGTGTAGGGATTGATCAGAGCCTGAAGGTACGGAGGTGCCGTTCCCCTCACAGCTCCGTAGGCAAGTACCATGGTCTTGTAGCAGATGCGAGCTTCAACTGGAAGCCAGTGGAGTGTGCGGAGGAACGGGGTGACGTGAGAGAGCTTGGGAAGGTTGAACACCAGACGGGCTGCAGCATTCTGGATGAGTTGTAGGGGTTTAATGGCACAGGCAGGGAGCCCAGCCAACAGCGAGTTGCAGTAATCCAGACGGGAGATTACAAGTGCCTGGATTAGGACCTGTGCCGCTTCCTGTGTAAGGCAGGGTCGTACTCTCCGAATGTTGTAGAGCATGAACCTACAAGATCGGGTCACCGCCTTGATGTTAGCGGAGAACGACAGGGTGTTGTCCAGGGTCACGCCAAGGCTCTTCGCACTCTGGGAGGAGGACACAACGGAGTTGTCAACCGTGATGGCGAGATCATGGAACGGGCAGTCCTTCCCCGGGAGGAGGAGCAGCTCCGTCTTGCCGAGGTTCAGCTTGAGGTGGTGATCCGTCATCCACACTGATATGTCTGCCAGACATGCAGAGATGCGATTCGCCACCTGGTTATCAGAAGGGGGAAAGGAGAAGATTAGTTGTGTGTCGTCTGCGTAGCAATGATAGGAGAGGCCACGTGAGGATATGACAGAGCCAAGTGACTTGGTGTATAGCGAGAATAGGAGAGGGCCTAGAACTGAGCCCTGGGGGACACCAGTGGTGAGAGCACGTTGTGAGGAGACAGATTCTCGCCACGCCACTTGGTAGGAGCGACCGGTCAGGTAGGACACAATCCAAGAGTGAGCCGCGCCGGAGATGCCCAACTCGGAGAGGATGGAGAGGAGGATCTGATGGTTCACAGTATCAAAGGCAGCAGACAGGTCTAGAAGGACAAGAGCAGATGAGAGAGAGTTAGCTTTAGCAGTGTGGAGAGCCTCCGTGACACAGAGAAGAGCAGTCTCAGTTGAATGACCAGTCTTGAAACCTGACTGGTTTGGTTCAAGAAGGTCATTCTGAGAGAGATAGCAAGAGAGTTGGCTAAAGACGGCACACTCAAGAGTTTTGGAGAGAAAAGAAAGAAGGGATACTGGTCTGTAGTTGTTGACATCAGAGGGATCAAGTGTTGGTTTTTTGAGAAGGGGTGCAACTCTCGCTCTCTTGAAGACGGAAGGGACCTAGCCAGCGGTCAAGGATGAGCGAGGTGAGGTAAGGGAGAAGGTCACCGGAGATGGTCTGGAGAAGAGAGGAGGGGATAGGGTCAAGTGGGCAGGTTGTTGGGCGGCCGGCCATCACAAGTCGCAAGGTTTCATCTGGAGAGAGAGGGGAGAAAGAAGTCAAAGCATAGGGTAGGGCAGTGTGAGCAGGACCAGCAGTGTCATTTGACTTAACAAACGAGGATCGGATGTCGTCAACCTTCTTTTCAAAATGGTTGACGAAGTCATCCACAGAGAGGGAGGAGGGAGGGGGAGGAGGATTCAGTAGGGAGGAGACGGTGGCAAAGAGCTTCCTAGGGTTAGAGGCAGATGCTTGGAATTTAGAGTGGTAGAAAGTGGCTTTAGCAGCAGAAACAGATGAAGCAAATGTAGAGAGGAGGGAGTGTTAAGATGCCAGGTCCGCAGGGAGTCTAGTTTTCCTCCATTTCCGCTCGGCTGCCCGGAGCCCTGTTCTGTGAGCTCGCAATGAGTCGTCAAGCCACGGAGCAGGAGGGGAGGACCGAGCCGGCCGGGAGGATAGGGGACATAGAGAGTCAAAGGATGCAGAAAGGGAGGAGAGGAGGGTTGAAGAGGCAGAATCAGGAGATTGGAGGGAGAAGGATTGAGCAGAGGGAAGAGATGATAGGATGGAAGAGGAGAGAGTAGCGGGGGAGAGAGAGAGCGAAGGTTGCGACGGCGCATTACCATCTGAGTAGGGGCAGAGTGAGTAGTGTTGGAGGAGAGCGAGAGAGAAAAGGATACAAAGTAGTGATCGGAGACATGGAGGGGAGTTCAAGTGAGATTAGTAGAAGAACAGCATCTAGTAAAGATGAGGTCAAGCGTATTGCCTGCCTTGTGAGTAGGGGGGGACGGTGAGAGGGTGAGGTCAAAAGAGGAAAGGAGTGGAAAGAAGGAGGCAGAGAGAAATGAGTCAAAGGTAGACATAGGGAGGTTGAAGTCACCCAGAACTGTGAGGGGTGAGCCATCCTCAGGAAAGGAACTTATCGAGTAAGGACTCTTTACTGTAAACTGTTCCTTTGGGCCATTTCTGATAATTTATGATCTATTCTGTGTGTGTGTGTGGTTTTTTTCCAGGTTCATGGCCCAGTACAAGCCCAGTCAGAGGGTGAAACCTGAGGCAGTGTTACAGAGTGTGAGGACACATTGTCTGTTCCCTCAGGCTGAGGCCTGCATTAAACACAGACTCCCAAAACTGGAGGGTATCGAGGGGGTACGTAGCCCCACACGTGTGTGTGTGTGTGTATATGTACACGGTTGGAACTACTACTATACTGAACTGATTGGACTGTGTGTGTCTTTGTCAGGGCCCTAACCCGTGGGCAGCCATGACCCTGATGCTGGTGCTGTGTGACGGGGTGGGAGATGTTCTGGACCTGGTGGTCTGTCTCAGAGGCTGCCTGCTTTCAGCCAGTGCCATCACAGAGTACCTCAGCGCCATGGCAACTATGCTGCTCGCCATGAGGAGGAAGGACATCAACATCAGCAACAGGTCAAGATGGAAGTTATATACAGATGGAAAGATAGAGACATGTACAAACAGATGGATAGACAGGCGGACATTGACTGTCTCTCTCTGCACCTCTCTTCTCCTTCCTCCACTCCAGGTGGCACTACAATATCTTCTACGTCCTTCACCTGATAGAGAACCCCCTGCCCACAGCAATAACCAATCAGAGTGGGTGAAGACTGATAACTTTCTGGAAGGAAGTATTTTGAATGAGTCAGTCATGACCTGAGTCTCATGCCCAGTCCTCTCTCTCCCAGGAGAGCCCAGGTTCAGGTGACCCACGAACAGCAGCAGATCCTCAACCACGACATCCATAGAGACCACGTGGTCAAGATCATGGCCTTCGCAGGTACCACCAGACCGCTACTACCAACATCATGTCACACCTGTGTTTTTAAAATATTTTTTAACAGATAACAAGTTAGATATAGAGTTGGTACTTTTGCTAGCATTCTCTGAATTATCGCTAGAGGGCACCCTCTCCCTGTCAGTTCAGCTCAGTCTGTGCTTCATCAGTTCAGGATGAGAATGAGAGTACTCTTTCTATATCGTGACAATTGCAGAGTATTTCAAGTGGATACACACACATGGTCCACCCCACATTGTGAGCTGTTGATTGTACCTTATGTGTGAATGTTCCTGCTAGGATGTAGTGTAGGGGTTAAAGGTTGTTGCTGTGTTTCAGGCACAGGGAAGACCACCACCCTGGTTCGGTACGCCCAGCAGAGGCCCACCTCCACTTCCTCTATATGATATTATATTCACTTCACTTCACTTCACTTTCTTACACACTTGGAAAATCGTGGCTCCAATGTAGGCAATCTCAGAACCAAACCTAAAGCTCTGAGAAGATATTCAATACAAACACTTTGAGCTTTTGTTTAGTGAGTATATACCTGAGCGAGGGAGAAGTGTGTGTGTGTGTGTGTGTGAACATGGGTGAGGTAGTAGAGGTGTGTGTGTTCAACCAGGTTCAGGGCATTGACTGCTCCTCTGAAGGTGTAGATCTGCTGGTGAGGGTCTCCCACCAGGATCTTCCCACAGTGCTGAGGCAGCATGATGTCCATGATGGCTAAGACACACACACACACTTATCATGGACCTGCTAATAGACCTGCTATCAGGTGAGTGGTGCCTGGTGCAGGTGTAATGTAGACCCAGGTTTGGTCCAGGTGTGTTACAGTGCAGTGGTGTAGTTAAGTTGTGTACCCGGAGTGCAGTCCTGTGCCTCGTCTATAAAGATTACATCATACTTGTCCAGAGTCGGCCTCTGCAGATGCCACAGCTTCAGATACCCTGGAAGACATTCAGTAAGGACCCAATCCTAAAACACTGACATATTAAAAAGTTCAAACACATCTCCAATGGATTACTAAGTAGGCTTAAGAAAAGTGCGTGCCAGTGCGTGAAGAAATGAATGAATGCGAAATTGTAAGTCGCTCTGGATAAGAGCGTCTGCTAAATGATGTAAATGTAAATTTCCTGGCCCACTAGGTCGTGTTGGGGAACGGATTTCAAAATCCCTCAATCTACCGTTGGCACCCATTCAAATTATCCCCAAGGGTGCCTTGTCCAATTTTGTTCATTCTCTTAAATTAAATGCTATGTCTGTTTTCTCATTAGCTGGGAAAGTTGTTTGAAATGTCCAATGCAACATACTTTGGTGATATTGTTATCAACCTACTACATACCCCTTACAAATACAACAAATTGTGTGCAGGTGTGCTATTAGCATGCTAACAATCATTAAAAAAGACTGGTAGAATAGCTAGCCATCGCTAGCATTCACTGGTTGAAGTTGAAGTAACTTTTGAGTGTAATGGAGTTGACTGGTGACTATGACATGAATATACACTTAGTAGCATCTAGTACCGGGTCGGACCTCCCTTTTCCTCCAGAACAGCCTGAATTCTTCGGGGCATAGAAACGTTGCTCAATTGGGATAAAGGGACCTAACGTGTGCCAGGAAAACATTCCCCACACCATTAGACCACCGCCACCAGCCTGTACTGTTGACACCGGGCAGGATGGGGCCATGGACTCATGCTGCTTACTCCAAATCCTGACTCTGCCATCAGCATGACACAACAGGAACCGGGATTCGTCGGACTATGCAATGTTTTTCCACTCCTCAATTGTCAAGTGTTGCGTGTCCACTAGAGCCGCTTCTTGTTTCTGAGATACTGGAAACCGGCACGCCTGGCACCGACGATCGTACCACGCTCAAAGTCGCTTAGGTCACTCATTTTGCCCATTCTATCGTTCAAAAGAACAGTAACTGAATGCCTCGATGCCCGTCTGCCTGCTTTATATAGCAATCCACGGCCACGCGTCTGTAGGAGCTAACCATTTTCGTGAACGGGGGTGGTGTACCTAATAAACTGTGTATATAATTCACAACATTTGGACGGGAGCTATAAAGAAAATGTAAATTATGTGTGTAGTTATTGCTTGAATTCAGGCTTGGCTGCAGTGCTTTCAATGGGGAAAGATTGCTTCCATAGAAAACGTCACTTTCCCGTGTGGACCTATTAGTGGAGTTTTGGCTTGCCTGGTGACATCACCAGGTGGTATAAATTAATAGACCAATAACAAATAGATTTCCAAACCTCTGCCAATAGCTAGTTTTCAGATTACATATCCCTCCTATTAGGCCTCACCGCTCCGGCGATTGATCCACACTGTGGTTAATGCACCGCTTTGGTGCCCTTCCCCGCCCCCCCACTCAGACAGCAAAATTCTTGCTTGAGAAATAGCTTTTTGCTAAAAGGGTATTTGTTTCTTTGTGACCATTTTAATGTACAACTATTACAGTAAAGGACTTAATTGTTACTCAGAAATGATTTGATATTAAAATAAGAATGGCTGCATTGGACGTTTTTTGAAGGTTGACTCAGCGAAATGACGTTGCATTGACTTCGCTCTCACACCATCACACACAGTATCTTCGCATGTGCATGGGTTCGCTTCACGCTGTTAGAGCGTGGTAGGTATGGAACCAAAACGGAGAAGTTTAGCCTCACGCTTTAACGCTCTTAGTTGTTGCTGAAATTGACCCACTATGCTGTTTACTTGGTGCACCTACTTCATATTGCTGGGTCTAAGGTTGATTTTTCTGAACTGTGTAATCATGCCAGTAAAATATCCATGGTGTTCCATGACTACTGTGCTCTTATTTGGTTTCTTTGGTTCTGATTAGATCCGTTTGTTTTAAAGGGGAGATTGTAGAATTAGGTTGCTGTTAAACATTCTGATTTGTTTCATCCTTCCAACTAAAAGTCCCAATACCACATATCACTTTACATTTGTATTTTGGGAGAATGTAATTTTTTATTTGACCAAAGATATGTCGGAAAAGTGACTTAAAGAGGAGCAATACACGAGCAGGAGTGAAGCCACTGTCCACATAATACGGTGAAGACCTTTTCTGCAAAACATGCAGTATTCTGGGGATGGAGTTGTTGTAGCTTGCTTGCTAGGTAGCTAGCTTATTCCCTCACCAAACACTGTGCTAGATCCGTGTGAGTGGTGTGAAGTTGCGTCAATTCAAATCTGGTATAGGAACAAAAAGAGGTCAATACACGTCTTCTAAAATAGACTAGTATTTTAATTAATGCAAATACTTGAATGGTAAATATGATGTTCGTATATACGGGCGCACTGAAACACCACGCAGGGCAGACAGAGAACTGAGCCATTGTTATAAGTTCTTCTTTAAATACTCTGACAGAGATAGTTCCCGCTCCCTGCTGGGCCTGTCAGAGTAGAGGCTGGGTGTGGTTTAAACTTACCCAACCTATCGATGGCGCACAGGCTGGTCCTAGTCCCTTGGCGCTTCACTGTTGCCGGGCATTAGTTGTTATCTTTACAACTTGTCTCGAGTCAGCAACCTCAGACATGGTTTGTTCTTCTTCATTGTAGCAGAACACATGTCCTTGAGCGGTTTAACAAAGAGGCAGTGTGTGTGTGAGTCACAAGTCTGTCTCAGCCTACCCCCTAACGGTTCCTCACATTAATCACAGCTTGTTATGTTAAACAATCTATATCAGTACAGCACAAACCTATTATGTTTAATCATTAATGTATTCTTTCTAAGCTAGGCATCACATCTAGTTGTAAGAAAATAGATCCCCACAGTGGGCCATTTCGTTTTGCACGGCCCGGTGCACTTAGCAGGCTAGCTTTTTAAAAAATCACTCTTCCACTGTTTGTAGCCATCGCAATCGTTTAGGGGAAAATTGAGCCCCGCATATGACTGAAGCGCCAGGGGTTCCCCTGGCCCAGTCTGCCCGCCGTATCCTCATGAAGCGGTTTCTTCCCAACTTCTCGCATTTCGACCAAACATGCATGCCGGTAAACAGCAGTTGTAGTTCACTGCCGCCACCACCAGGCTGTTCTCTTCTTGACATCAAAGATGCAATACAGTGGGGAAAAAAAGTATTTAGTCAGCCACCAATTGTGCAAGTTCTCCCACTTAAAAAGATGAGAGAGGCCTGTAATTTTCATCATAGGTACACGTCAACTATGACAGACAAAATGAGAAAAAAAAATCCAGAAAATCACATTGTAGGATTTTTAATGAATTTATTGGCATATGATGGTGGAAAATAAGTATTTGGTCAATAACAAAAGTTTCTCAATACTTTGTTATATACCCTTTGTTGGCAATGACACAGGTCAAACATTTTCTGTAAGTCTTCACAAGGTTTTCACACACTGTTGCTGGTATTTTGGCCCATTCCTCCATGCAGATCTCCTCTAGAGCAGTGATGTTTTGGGGCTGTCGCTGGGCAACACAGACTTTCAACTCCCTCCAAAGATTTTCTATGGGGTTGAGATCTGGAGACTGGCTAGGCCACTCCAGGACCTTGAAATGCTTCTTACGAAGCCCCTCCTTCGTTGCCCGGGCGGTGTGTTTGGGATCATTGTCATGCTGAAAGACCCAGCCACGTTTCATCTTCAATGCCCTTGCTGATGGAAGGAGGGTTTCACTCAAAATCTCACGATACATGGCCCCATTCATTCTTTCGTTTACACGGATCAGTCGTCCTGGTCCCTTTGCAGAAAAACAGCCCCAAAGCATGATGTTTCCAACCCTATGCTTCACAGTAGGTATGGTGTTCTTTGGATGCAACTCAGCATTCTTTGTCCTCCAAACACAACGAGTTGAGTTTTTACCAAAAAGTTATATTTTGGTTTCATCTGACCATATGACATTCTCCCAATCCTCTTCTGGATCATCCAAATGCACTTCAGACGGGCCTGGACATGTACTGGCTTAAGCAGGGGGACACGTCTCGCACTGCAGGATTTGAGTCCCTGGCGGCGTAGTGTGTTACTGATGGTTGGCTTTGTTACTTTGGTCCCAGCTCTCTGCAGGTCATTCACTAGGTCCCCCCGTGTGGTTCTGGGATTTTTGCTCACCGTTCTTGTGATCATTTTGACCCCACGGGGTGAGATCTTGCGTGGAGCCCCAGATCGAGGGAGATTATCAGTGGTCTTATATGTCTTCCATTTCCTAATAATTGCTCCCACAGTTGATTTCTTCAAACCAAGCTACTTACCTATTGCAGATTCAGTCTTCCCAGCCTGGTGCAGGTCTACAATTTTGTTTTTGGTGTCCTTTGACAGCTCTTTGGTCTTGGCCATTGTGAAGTTTGGAGTGTGACTGTTTGAGGTTGTGGACAGGTGTCTTTTATACTGATAACAAGTTCAAACAGGTGCCATTAATACAGGTAACGAGTGGAGGACAGAGGAGCCTCTTAAAGAAGAAGTTACAGGTCTGTGAGAGCCAGAAATCTTGCTTGTTTGTAGGTGACCAAATACTTATTTTCCACCATAATTTGCAAATAAATTCATTAAAAACCCTACAATGGGATTTTCTGGATTTTTTTTCCTCAATTTGTCTGTCATAGTTGACGTGTACCTATGATGAAAATTACAGGCCTCTCTCATCTTTTTAAGTGGGAGAACTTGCACAATTGGTGGCTGACTAAATACTTTTTTTCCCCACTGTATATTGTTGGTATGCGTTTTTGATCAATGTAATTCAAATGGAGAAAATAGAAGTGTATAAAAAAAAATTGTAATACGTTTTTGCATAAAGACCATTTTAGATGGAATATCATCAATCTACGTTGTTAGATTTGTGGAAATATATAGTGCAACCTGCCCTTTAATGTGTGTGTTCGTCCACAGGCTGTGTGCAGGGTAAGGCTGTGGACTCACTGCGTCCCCTGACTACAGGGTTGAGTCCTGGCCGGGGCAAGTTAGCAGTGCTGTCTCGCTCTAACGTCTCTGTGTACGACCAAGCTGTCAGACTCACCGACGACAACCCCCGCTGTAGACTGCACATCGTAGGGGTGTGTCCATACACACCCACACACACACACAATGTGTTTGGGTCTTGTGTAACACATTGTAAGACATCTATTTTCCACTCCAGGGGTTGGAGAATTTTGGGCTGAACAGAATCATGGACATTTGGGTTCTGATGCAGCCAGAAAACAATCGCTCTCGGGGTGAGTGGCACACACACTGCCCCTTGCCTCAGTTCCGCAATTCTAATACAAGTGAATTAGTATGTTGTACCTGTGTGATATATCTGGTTTTGGTAAGACAGTATTCTGCCTTGGTTCTCAATGCTCATAGTTTTATTGGTAGATTCTTGTGTGTCAGTCAATAGCTCTACTCTACAATGTGAGTAGTGTTTTTACTCTTAACGGACAGTTAGTCAAAGCTCAAACCAATTTTATTCACCCACTGGGTCAAACAGCTGCATAAGACAAAGACATGTTTCCACCAGCACAAGTATTTATACCCCCCTTTAGGCAGTGTCCGCCTTTTCTCCAAACACTACATCTCTGTTGCTAGGCAGGAAGTTAAATGATGTGGGTAATAAACTGTTCCTTCTCCCTTCATGTGACCTGACCTGACCTCGGCCCACATTCCTCACTAATGCACAGCTATCCACCTTCATCAGTGACAGCAACCATGTGTTTGACCTTTACCTTACTTAGTAACTCTCCAGGGCCTTGGCTCTTATCCAACCTCCATCGACCCCACCATATACATTCCTCATACGTGTGACCATTAACACTTTTTAAACCTACTCCCTTCTTCTTCTCCCTGTTCTCTAGGCATCAAGGACAGCTTCATCCGTAGGTTCACCAAGCAGAGTCTGGAGGGCTACTGTGGGCTGAAGAGTTATGCTAAAAACACAAAGGACCGTGAGTTGGAGGGTAAACTCTCCATGGTGGAGAAATACAACAGCCGCATCCCTGAGCTGGTGGAGCTCCTCTACAGATGCGCAGAGAGAGAGGCCCAACACGCAGGTACACACACACACTGTACAGACAAACTTCCACACAGGTACATACTGTACACACGCAAACACATAGACATACACACAAGTACAGTACATGCCACACACACACACAACTGTACAGACACACAGCGTTATGAATTGCTGTATTTTGTATTTGAGAGTGATTTTTCAAATGTTTCTCAACCCTCCCCCGCTCTCTCTCGCTCTCTCTTAGATTTTATCCTGGGGACAGTCCATAAATCAAAGGGTCTGGAGTTTGACACGGTGGTGATCACTGATGACTTCGCTAAGGTCCCCTGTGCCGCCCACAACTTACCCAGACTCTCCAGCTGCTCAGGAGGTGTGTGTGTGTGTGTGTTATGGCTGCACCACAATTAGTTTGAACTAGACTACTAAAGACACACTAAGCATTCCATGGAAGATGATCCAAGCAATCATTAGGCATTTGGAAAACCTATCCATATACCAACTCTGATCTAAGGCCAATGACTGTTGGCTGTTTTCTCCCTCCTCCTCTCCCCTCCTCTAGGTGACATCCTGGAGGATGAGTGGAACCTGCCGTATGTGGCGGTGACGCGGGCCAAGAGTTATCTGGTCATCACCAAGAACATCAACAACATCCTCACACTGGCTGGGGTGAGAGCATTGACCAGTGGAGGCTGCTGAGGGAGGACGTCTCATAATAATGGCTGGAGTGGAGTATAATGGCTGGAATGGAGTGAATGGAATGGCCGTTATGAGTTGTCCACCCCTCAGCAGCCTCCACTGGCACTGACCCCCTCCACTACACTCTTCCCTCTTATAATAATAATAATATGCCATTTCGCAGACGCTTTTATCCAAAGCGACTTACAGTCATGTGTGCATACATTTTTACGTATGGATGGTCCCGGGGATCGAACCCACTACCCTGGCGTTACAAGCGCAATGCTCTACCAATTGAGCTACAGAGGACCACTTAACATGGTTAAATGGTAGTGGTTTCCCTGAAATCGAAGGTCACGGTTTGTTTTCTCTGTAATTGCTGAATCATTTCCTTGCTTGTCTATCTCTCTTTGTAGGTCTGTATCTTCACTTGTCTCTCTCTATTCTTCCACTCTATCCCCCTCTACCCCTCCATAATCCTCTCCATCACTCTCTAAAACACTCCTTCGCTCTACTTAACTCTCTCCTATTCCCAGTCTTTCTTTTTTCTATGTGTGTACTTTTCTCAAACACCATCTCAGATTTCAGAGAAATGTACTAGCTGTTAATTGAAGCAGGATGTTGTGGTTATGTAATTCTGAGAAAGCCTTATTCCTCTGTGGGTGACATTTATGTGACGCAAATGAGCACATGTGTTATGACGAGTTTCTCTGGTATCTCGTACTTCAGGATGTAAGAGAATAATTGAACCCTTAGATGGAGAGTTGATTCATATTATTTAATAGTTACAGTATTGGATTCATGTGACAAGCGGTACGGGCGTAGCCTCTTGTCATCCGAATGACTTACATAGAAAATCTCTGTTTATATAATGTTCTCGGACCTACTTCCATCCAACAGTTGCCAACCATTATTGAGTGTCACTCATCTCCTACAATAGGATCCCCCTACATGGTATCATGTGGCCCCCTAGCCAGGCCCTTCCATCACATACTCCTTCTAAGATTAGCACCAGTGGCCCCCAATCTATCTTGGCAAGCCAACCTTCTGTCACCCCCCAGTGACATCCATAACACATGGTGTGTCCTTACCCTCTCTCCCACATACAGCTCATGAGTTTAAAGACATTAACAAATACTGTATCAAAAGACGTTAAATCAGCAAGTGAATGTGTTCCAATTGAATTTGTGTTCTGTGAAAGCCTCCCCCCATAGCCTGGTGGTCCAGTCTGTGTTATTAGCCAACCCTCTGTGTGTATGGCTTGACACACGTCATCAGTAAAATAATCCCACCCCACTTTAGGCGGGCTGTACTTTCCCATTGTACACATAAAAATCATTGTCATATTCTGCAACATGTTCCCTAATCTCCTCCAAGCCTAATGGTTTTCTCCCTCCTTGGATTGGGGTGCCTACTTCCTGTTATTAGTTTCACCGTTATCACAAGTTGTCTGTAGACAGTTCTCCTTCCCCTTCATTGTCTGGCCTAGCTCCTACTCGTATTGCTAAACAGTAACACAATGTCCTAATCTTAACTTTGTCATATACACTACTAGTTTACAGTTTTATGATTCCAACACATTTCACACAGTTTTCTGAGTGTAATAATTAGTCACTTCTAAATTATTCTATCAGTTACTCAGCCAATCTCCTAGAACCTAGAGACACTGACAATGAGATACCCTTGATGATGACGGGCCTAGACCTGCCCCTCATGATCTCTGTTAATTGAAAGGTGTGTTCCTTGCTGATTGGATAAATGTTTGGGGAAGAATGCCATTATTGTTTTTTAGTGTGGTTATATTTTGCTGCATAGAAAATGGACAAGTTCATATCTGTCTTTAAATAGGTCTCATTTTCTCGTTTCTTTTAAAAATGTCTCTTATTTGTGATTTAAAAAAAAAAATTACAACAAAAGAAACAGATTTGTGTCTTAAGTTGGAGTACTTTGAGGTTAGCAACATAAGCATCATCATAAGTCATGTCCATTGTTTCCATAAAGACACATAAAATAGTTGCCAATACTCTAAAGGAAACGGTAAAGTAAGTATTTATGAATTGTGGTTAGTTTGGAATGCAATTGAAAGTGTATGTGTTTGGACAGAGTAAGATGACTGTTCACACCTGCCATACAAGGAATAGGGTGCCTTTTGGGATGAGGCCTGTGGCTGTGTTCGAGAGGATCAAAACCGCAATGTATCATGGGTAAATTCACTCAGTAACAGATCTACACATAATAATGAGTCGTTATTTATGATGCAAGGTGATTTGTAGATCAGTCACTTGGTAGTCGCCTGCAGTCGTTTTGATGCTCTCGAACACGGCCTGTCTCTCCATGCACAGCTGCATCCTTACAGACACAACTGTGTTTAAAGAGTTGGAGAGAAGGGGTTTACCAAAAGCAGCTGTTTGCTCTGAGGGGGTGGCATCATGTCTGTGTTTAATTTGGTCCTGGGAAAAAGTATACCGTCTCTGCCTCCATTCGAGATGAATGAATTTAGGAATGGCCTTTATATGGGAGGGTTTTTCCTTCTACACTGAACAAAAATATAAACGCAACATGTAAAGTGTTGGTTTTCATGAGATAAAATAAAATATCCCAGAAAAGCTTATTTCTCTAAAATGCTGTGCACACATTTGTTTACATCCCTGTTAGTAAGCATTTCTCCTCTACCAAGATGATCCATCCACCTGACAAGTGTGGCATATCAAGAAGCTGATTGAACAGCTTGATCATTACACAGGTGCACTTTGTGCTGGGACAATAAAAGGCCACTCTAAAATGTGCAGTTTTGTCACAACAAAATGCCACAGATGTCTCAAGTTTTGAGCGAGTGTTCAATTGGCATGCTGACTGCAGGAATGTCCACCAGAGCTGTTGACAGAGTTGAATGTTAATTTCTCTACCATGAGCAACCTCCAACGTCGTTTTAGAGAATTTGGCAGTACGTACAACCGGCCTCACAACCGCAGACCACGTGTAACTAGGCCAGCCCAGGATCTCCACATCTGGCTTCTTCACCTGCAGGATCGTCTAAGACCAGCCACCTGGACAGCTGATGAAACTGGGTTTGCACAACTGAAGAATTTCTGCACAAACTGTCAGAAACCGTCTCAGGGGAACTCATCTGCGTGTTCGTCATCCTCACCAGGCTCTTGACCTGACTGTAGTTTGGCGTTGTAACTGACTAAAGTGTGAAAATGCTTACCTTGGATGGCCACTGGCACACTGGAGAAGTGTGCTCTTCACGGATGAATCCAGGTTTCAACTGTACTGGGCAGATGGCAAAGGTGTGGGCGAGTGGTTTGCTCATGTCAACGTTGTGTACAGAGTGCCCCATGGTGGCGGTGGAGTTATGGTATGGGCAGGCATAAGCTATGGACAATGAACACAATTGCATTTTATCGATGGCAATTTGAATGCAGAGGATACCGTGACGAGATCCTGAGGCCCATTGTTGTGCCATTCATCCGCCGCCATCATCTCATGTTTCAGCATGATAATGCATGGCCCCATGTCGCAAGGATCTGTCCACAATTCCTGGAAGCTGAAAATGTCCCAGTTCTTCCATGGCCTGCATACTCACCAGACATGTCACCCATTGAGCATGTTTGGGATGCTCTGGATCGACGCATACGACAGCATGTTTCAGTTCCCGCCAATATCCAGCAACTTCGCACAGTTATTGAAGAGGAGTGGGACAACATTCCACAGGCCACAATCAACAGCCTGATCAACTCTATGCGAAGGAGATGTGTCGCGCTGCATGAGGCAAATGGTGGTCACACCAGATACTCACTGGTTTTCTGATCCACGCCCCTACTTTTTTTTTAAGGTATCTGTGACCAACAGATGCATACTGTATTCCCAGTCATGTGAAATCTATAGATTAGGGCCTAATGAATTTATTTCAATTGACTGATTTCCTTATATGAACTGTAACTCAGTCAAATCTTTGAAATTGTTGCATGTTGCGTTTATATGCGTAACACCACGTTTGGTCTTGCCAGAACCTGACTACTCTAGGGAGAAACTGTCTGACCTGTGAAACAAAGTACCATCGATCTAATGAACAATTAATATTTAGACAGAAACCGTCTGGAAGATATAGGGGCTGTCTGGGGAATTCTGACTGTCACACATACCTACATACAGTGCCTTGCAAAAGTATTTATCCCCCTTTGCGTTTTTCCTATTTTGTTGCATTACAACCTGTAATTTAAATTGGATTTTTATTTGGATTTCATGTAATGGACATACACAAAATATTCCAAATTGGTGAAGTGAAATGAAAAAAAATAACTTGTTTCAAAAAAGTAATTTAAAAAAAAAACGGAAAAGTGGTGCGTGCATATCTATTCACCCCCTTTGCTATGAAGCCCCTAAATAAGATCTGGTGCAACCAATTACCTTCAGAAGTCACATAATTAGTTAAAGTCCACCTGTGCGCAATCTAAGTGTCACATGATCTGTCACATGATCTCAGTATACATACACACCTGTTCTGAAAGGCCCCAGATTCTGTGGCGGTAATGCACCATAACGTTGGATGCCAACCACCGATAAACCCCACTGAAGAAGAAGAAGAAGAAGGCCCCAGAGTCTGCAACACCACTAAGCAAGGGGCACCATGAAGACCAAGGATCTCTCCAAACAAGTCAGGGACACAGTTGTGGAGATGTACAGATCAGGGTTGGGTTATAAAAAGATATCAGAAACTTTGAATATCTCACAGAGCACCATTAAATCCATTATTAAAAAATGTAAAGAATATGGCACCACAACAAACCTGCCAAGAGAGGGCCGCCCACCAAAACTCACAGACCAGGCAAGGAGGGCATTAATCAGAGAGGCAACAAAGAGACCAAAGATAACCCTGAAGGAACTGCAAAGCTCCACAGCGGAGATTGGAGTATCTGTCCATAGGATCACTTTAAGCCGTACACTCCACAGAGCTGGGCTTTACGGAAAAGTGGCCAGAAAAAAGGCATTGCTTAAAAAAAAAAATAAGCAAACACGTTTGTGGGAGAATCTGGTCCTCTGGTCAGATGAGACAAAAATTTAGCTTTTTGGCCATCAAGGAAAACGCTATATCAGGCACAAACCCAACACCTCTCATCACCCCGAGAACACCATGCCCACAGTGAAGCACGGTGGTGGCAGCATCATGTTGTGGGGATGTTTTTCATCGGCAGGGACTGGGAAACTGGTCAGAATTGAAGGAATGATGGATGGCGCTAAATACAGGGAAATTCTTGAGGGAAACCTGTTTCAGAGATTTGAGACTAGGACGGAGGTTCACCTTCCAGCAAGACAATGACCCTAAGAATACTGCTAAAGCAACACTTGAGTGGTTTAAGGGGAAACATTTAAATGTCTTGGAATGGCCTAGTCAAAGCACAGACCTCAATCCAATTGAGAATCCATGGTATGACTTAAAGATTGCTGTACACCAGCGGAACCCATCCAACTTGAAGGAGCTGGAGCAGTTTTGCCT